TAATAACGCTGTGTTATATACTTAAAAAGCGCTAAGATTGGCTCAGCGGTTGGAGCATCAGCCTGCGGACCAGAGAGTCCCGGGTTCGGTTCCCACTAGGGGCACATATCAAAAAAAAAAAAAAAGGCGCTAAGAGTAGATCTTAAATGTTCTCACCACAAGACAGAAATGGTAACTATGTGATACAGTGAGGAGTTCCCTCACAGGAACATTTGAAACGTGGAAATGTATCAGATCAACATGCCATGTATCTTAAACTGACATCATGTGTAACACTGGGTGCCAGGTATGCTCTGTACTTTCTATGTGCCTTTTCATAAAAATAAAACTGTTCTAAATAAAAATTCTAAAATAAAAATGTCTCTGAAAGAGCGCCTGTCATTGAATTCTCCCGAGAGTCCTGCAGATGGAGGAATTGAGCAGAGAGGCAGGTCTGGCTGGAGGCCCCAGGGCTGCAGGGCTGCAGGGCAGCCAGGCTCTGGGACTCCCTCGGACACAGTTGCTCCAGAAATATTTGGGGACGTGAGCAGGGAGGGGGCCGGCTCATGTCTTCAGGACAGTGGGTCACATCCAAAGCTAGCTGGGAGCTGGCTGCTCTGATCCCCGGGCTCCCACAGAAACCTCCTGGGGCTTCCAGTTGGAGGAATGGGAACCCAGAAACCGGCTTTGGAGACCCTGCAAATACCTGTGGCGGAAAGCTGGAGTGTGAAAAGGTGGAAATAAAGTTGTTTCCTTTTCCAAATTAATATGAAACAAGGAGCAGCTTAATTGTACTTTGGGTCTAACAATTTCTCCAGTTGCCATAGGAACCCAGAAGAGGCATTTAAAAATATATTCCGTCTGACCTTGTTCCTTTTGATTGATGGATCTGAAGACTGGCTGCGGGCGAAGCGGCCCGTGTGGCTCCGGGACGGGCCACCAGAGGGCGCGCGGCGGCCTTGACGCGCAGCCCTTCCCGCTTCAAGTGTGTGGGGCCCCGCGAACCGGCGGTCGGCCCTGTGCCGGCCACGAGACCCCGCGGAGTCCTCGCCGTTCCTCTTCTAGCGCAGATCGCTTCCTCCGAGTTCCACGCCCAGGCGCACAGTGAGGGTGCCCACCACAGGCGGTGCCAGGGCTGCCAGCTGGCCAGGTGAGACAGGGTGGCGGGGCACCACCGTTCTGGAGAGAACGTGGCACACACCAGGGCGTGGGACCCCACCACCCCACTCCCTCTGCCGCCCCGACTCCTCCAGATGTGCGTTGTGCTGGTTCCCTCGTGGTCAGGGAGGCAGGTGGCTCGTGGCCTGGGGGAGGGAGATGACAAGGAGACAAATGTCCCATCTCCAAAAGGGCCCTCAGTAATGTTTCTTTCCAAGGGACCAAAGCCAGTGTGATTAGACGCTGCTAGAAGCTTAATATGTCCCATGTTATTTATACATCACTATCGACATCCCGTATCGATACGTGCGCGGTAGGTGTCGGTGACAAAAAGCATCAGCTGGATAACGTGCTATTTATGTGTTAATATTTAGAAACTCCGGCGTGTTTCGATTAGAAATGTGTGTTACTGGACAATTTCGTTCCAAAGGCGTCTCTCTAATGTAAGATTTATTGAGATTTATGAGGCAGCGGCACTGGCGACCGCGGCCGCGTGAGTCCCGCGGAGTGAAATCCGCGCGTGGGGGCGCCTTCCAGCCCCACGGCCAGCCGGCCTCTCCTGTTGTTACTAAGCCGAGTGCTTCGCTCTGCATGAATTCGCGTCTCTGCAATGCGGCCTGCGAGGAGCAGGGCGGGCGGTTTGCAAAGCCAGCCTGCGGGTTAGGTCTTCCCATTATTCCAGAGGTGGCCACATGTTTCACCTGGGCGGGGCGAACGGAGTGAACTCCTCCGCAGCAAATAATGAGGTGCGGTTCCAGAAAGGGCCACTAGAGGGCGGACCGGAGGCGGCCGAGGAGCTCGGAGGTGTCTGGGAAGCCGTGGTCCTCCGCGTGCAGAGGGCTGTATCCCCAGGTGGGGGGGGCCTGGTTTGGCCTGGACGTAATTTCCCACAGCGTGAAGAGGCTGCCCCTCTGAGGACCCACATCTTGGAGGAATTGTTTTCATATCCCCCGATCTGGTCCCTCTGCCCCAATACTTAGCCAACTCCCTTCCCCGGGAGGAGATCTGTTTGGAGCCCCCAGGGTATTCTTTGGGGGTTGTGGTTTGCCTGCAAAGACACAGCGCAGAACGGGACGGGGTGTGAGACATTAGTCAAGGGAGGACTGAAAGAGGGTCAGAGCTCTCTGTTATGGGTTGAATTGTCTCGCCTCCCCTCAAAAGTAACCCCCAGTAACCTCCGAATGTGGCCTTATTTGGAAATAGGGTCACTTCAGATTTAACGAGTGACGTTGAGGTCAGCCTGGAATAGGGTGGGCCCCTAATCCAATGGTGGTGTCCTGAGCAGAAGGCAGTCATATGAAGACACAGGGGCGCCGGGGATGCAGAGATCCGAGGGGAGGTGGCCACAGCTTGGAGCCTCCAGAAGCTGGAGGGGCAGGAAGGGTCCCCCCAGAGCCCTGATGGCCCCCTGGCCCTGCCCACACCTTGACTTTGGCCTTCTGACCTCCAGAACTGTGAGACAATAAATGTCTGTTCTTTTGACACAACCAGTGTGTGGTCTTTGTTACTGCTGCCCCAGGGAACTGACTCAAGTCTGAACACCGAGGGCAGGAGGAGCCCGCTGTGGAGACAGGAGACTTCTCCGAACCTGGCCAAGTCTCGGCCAGCTTTCTGTGCCAGGTGTAGACACAGGAGGCCCTGGAGATGCCTGCAGCGGAAGGGATGCTCCTAGCTCCTCCTCCCCGCCCAGGCGGACGGAGGGGTGGACAGGAGCCGCGTCCTGGGAGGCTGGCAGGGTGTCCCTGCACCTGCTCGGGCCTTCTCTTCACTCATGGTTCCCAGCGTTATTTTCTCCCTTGCAGAAACGCAGCTGAACCGTGGGAGAGCAGGAAGACGCATTTCGGTCTTTTCAAATTCATCCCAGGACTTGGGAGCAGGGAGACTTCTGAATTAATGCCACATGTCACGAGAGCAGCCAGAGTACAGATGCTCGGCTGATCTCTACAACTTATCTTGGTAAATAATGCCTCCGACCTGCTCCGGGTTCCGTCATCAAGCCCTGCGGTGCCGAGCGCAGAGGACGGGGAAGGGCGTGGCTTCCTGTGCGCTCACGATGGCCTGGAGCCGAGGTCCCCCGCCCCAGGACCCCGGGGTGCAGTGGGAACCCTCTGGGTCAGGTGATCAGTAGACAGAGAGGGCCGGGGCCCTGCCTTCCCCAGAGGCAGCATCTCTGGGACAACGCTCCTGCCGAAGACACAGCAGAGGTGTGGGGCCTGGGCTCTCCCTGGACCGCGTCTCCTCTTGAGGGGAGCACCGGGCCTTCGAAGCCAGGCCAGGCCACCGGCCAGAGGGTGGGAGAAGCTGGCTGGACAGGGTAAAGGGAAGGTGATCAGGTCCCCTCTCTTCTCTCTCTTGATCAGAAACCACATGCTAGTGGGATTTCAGCCCACATGCAAACACCCCACCTCTCCTGGGAGCCAGTCCTGGGTCCCTCTGCTGCTTTCTGATCCAGTGCAGGCCATTCACAGACACCCATCCCTAGGCAGGGCAGGTGGCGACATTCTCTTAGAAGACAAAGCCAGGTGGTCAGGTGTGCCTTCCCCGACCTCAGCAAGGGGACCTGGCATTGTGTTGCTCTTTGCAAGGAGGGAGAGGCGGCGGTGGAAGTCTGGGTGGCGGAGGACAGTGGCCATCTGCTGCCCAGGCCCCCTCCTAAAGTCGCTGCGCAATCATGGACTTGCTGGTCTTTGTGTCGTCGTCGGCTTCTGGTACATATTAATGGATGGCTTTTTATTCATTTAGCTTATGTTTTTGAAAGATGGCCTCAAACAAAAAGATCATATCTGTATGTTGTGCTTTAATTTATTTTCACCTTTTTTTCTCCTTTGGAGACCCTGGTGGATCATCACTTTGTTTACCACAAATTAAACTGGGCTGATTGTTTACTGGCTCGGGCCCCTGCGCATTGGTGAGCTTCTCCTTTCTTAATGACCGCAACCTGGGATTCGTCTGCGAGAGGCCCTAATCTGCATGAGAATTATACAATTAACTTTTGATTAACCACCTAGTTCTTTTTGAGACCACAGTGTATAGGATACTCTGCATTTAAATAATTTCCCTCAAATTGGGAGCAGGCCTTTCATTAAGCCGGTGAGTTTGACTAAAACAACAACATTTGGCGACAATCAGGGTCAGACAATAGGGGAGGCTGCAGGGTAGAATGTCATCTTTAAATATAACAGTGGAGATAAAGGCCCCCAGATTGCGCCTTATCAAAACACACGAAAAATCAAAGCGCTCTTGTCTGCGGAGGAGCGCGGAGGCCGGGTGGCGGGCCACCATTGTCTGGGCCACCGCGAGGCAGGGCTTGTATTCGGGCCGCTAACACACGTTACATCACGTAGGGTACTTATCTCCAAGTCTGACAATAATTATCGGGAAGAATATGCTCAGAATGACTTTTTTTGTGATTTTTATGCCTCCCCAACACAAGGAAGGGGAGATAACGGCGCTCGGAGAAAGGGCCGAGTCTCCGAAGACGCTCCCCTGAGCTGGTGTTTCGATTAAATTCGCGGTGCCACCGCGAGCGGCTGAACAAGGGGTAAGAAAGCCTGGAGCCTTTTCTATGGGGTGATAATAGACCTGAACACAGCCCTCACCCGAAGATAAGATCCATTGTGCACACAAACAAAGGCAGCGGATTAGACACCACCCGGAGCATATCTATGAGCGAAGTTCTCGCTCTTCCTCCTCTGCTCGCGCCTTCACCTGATTCCGCCAGACCCAGGCTGCTGCGCGGGGCTCCGGGGAGGACGTGGGCGCATTGTCCTGGGGTTGGCTGAGGTCGGGTTAGGACTTTTCAAGGTCAAGGTCGTTCACTTCTTCCTGGGGTTCTCATTATTCTCACTTTGCCTCTTCCCAAGGTCCAGCAGAAGAGACTTGGGTCCCATGTACCGAGACCCCAGGAAACCTGGCGGAAGGTCGAATTCCAGAGGCACAGACCGCGCCCCATCCCACTCAGCCCTGCCAGACTTCCGGCGGGCTGCCAGCCACAGGTGCGTACCTGTCCGTAGGAGAGTTGTCCCAGTTCCTCTGCGCATGGGGACTGGTCAGCGCCCGTGCTGGGCATCCGAGGTCCGGACTGAATGTAGACACTGACGGCATGTCCCTGCAAAAACCAAGTCAGGGCTTTGGGCCAGCTGCTTTGGCACAGCTGCCTGCACTTGGAGTTGACAAGAACAGAGCCTTGACTGTCGTCTGACTCCCCGTGCTCCTGGCCAGCCTCCTGGGTGCAGATGGCTCGGGCTCCTCCAGCCTGTGGCAAGGCTGGCCTGGGACACTGGGTGGACTTGCTCCTTTGATTTAGATCAGAATGTCAGTTGTTTGTTTTCCTTCAACCAAGAAGAACGACCGAAAGTCAAGATTTACTCAATACGAGTAACGCTCTGCGGGCTCAGCCCTTCCCCGATACCCACCCGCAAACCTTTCCCATCCTTTTCCTTTGGGTGGTTCTGGTTCCGGGTGGAGATTGTTCCAAGAGGCTCTCCCCGAATGCTCTGACGAGAGGGTGCTCTGAGCTGCTCTGTTGGGATAGGGACGGGCAGGCCACAGGCTGGGGGACAGGACCTGAGGCTGCCATAGCCCCACCAGCAGCAGAGCCCTGGTTCTGAGCATGCTCAGTGTGTGTGTGGAGGTACAGGGGGCTGTGCAGAGGGGGAAGGAGAATTTGGAGAGCAGTGTGTGTGGGAAAGCCAGGGCCTCCTTTCCCACAAACCCTCTGGCTTCAGGGAAACCCTTCTGAGAGCCTTTGTGGCTCCTTCTGAGTCCCAGGGCTTCCCAGAGCGCAGGGCACCTGGTGGGCCCAGGCACTGGTCGGGGCAGCCGTTAGAGATCCTTGGGGCCTTCCCTGGGGACTGGTTTGCCCTTTTTGGGCTCTTCTGCGGTGGGAGGAGTTGGGGAACACAATGAAAAGCTGCCGTGCAGCTTCCTTGTGGGGAAACCTTGTCCAAAACTGTTCAGAAAGGCAGGGAGCCAGCAAAGTGGACAGGCTGCTCGCTAGCGGGGTCCAGGGCAGCCGGCTCCTGTGACATCTGTCTCTGGGCTGGTCCCTTCTAAGCAAGGGCCCCTGGTTTGGCCCTCAGGGCTGCCCACCTCTGCGGGCATCAGGAGGGGAGAAACCACCCTCCACTGCCAGGGATGCAAGACCGAGGGTCACGCCTGAAGGGTTGACTGGGAGCCAGTCACCTCCGGCTTGAATGCATTTCCGTGGGAACTGGAGGAGGGCGCTGAGGGCCAGGCTGCCTTGTCCTGCTGTGGCCTGATGTTCAGACCGGAGAGGCTCATCCGCTGGGAAGGGCTCTCTGAAGGCTTTTGTGCTCCAGCATCCCCCTCCCACATGACACTCTGCAGCAGGGACCTTTCTTCCCTGGGGCCTTTGCACTGACCAGTCAGTGCCCCCTGGGCAGGTGATACCTGGCTGCCTCCAGCCGCTCCGAGCTCCCTCCCTCCCACGCGCCTGCAGAAAGTCTCTCTAGTCACACTTTTTAAAAAATCAGAAAAGCAATGAGGTTTGATTTTCAAAACATTCTCCCTGTGTGTGGCCGAAGTTGTTTTAACATCTAGTAAAATGTGGATTCTTGGTGGCTTGGGCATTGGGGTCGATTCTGCCTGGTTTGTCATTGGTGATGAAGGTCAAGCCATCATGCTCAAGATCCACATCATGTGGTCGGGTCCTCACGGAAGTGAGGCTGAGCCTGACTGACCAAGTGCAGCTGGAAAATGCCAGACAGCACTGGCATCGACCGTCACGGTTAGGGGCCAGGTTCTCATGCACCTGTGGGTGGTGAGACTCAGCCGAGGATGAGGTGGCTGGATACCATGACTATAATAATAAAAAAAAAGGGCTCTGCAGATGGATTATTTTAACTAGTCTCCATCTTATATTATAAAAAGTGGAAAAATATAGGAAGGGCAAATTGGGGACTAGGAAGATTACAGTAATATAGCTTCTCAGTTAATTGATTAGCAATTACGGCTGGTAATATTGTTCATTTTAATTGTGTTTAATCTCTATTTTGGTAATAAAGATTATTGTTTTGGATTATGACTTTATCCTACTATACTAATTACTAACTTGTGAAATTAAAGTGTATATTTTCACGTCCCGAAAAAAATTCACACCGTGCCCTTACATAATAACTCCCTTTCCCGAACAAACCAGTTGTTTGGAATGGTTTTATTCGTAACATCTAAGAAGGACTCGGAGTTGGCAGGCGAAGTAAACATTTCGTCTGTTTACCGAGAAATACATGCTTGCAGAAATGTTTTAGGGAGTGAAAGAAACCAGAGAGATCACCAGAAGTAAGTCCGAGATGTGAGGGGACGTTAGCAGGTTTCGAGGAGCACGGATTTTCCATCTGAAGGACAGTTCACCCGTCGTCATGTTCCTGCAGCTTCTGGGGGCAGCATGACCCCGCCCCGGGCTCTGAAAGCCCCTTTTCACGGTTCTACCCTTGAACACGTGTTTCCTCTGCCCCGAGACAAACAGCCGGCTGACGCATCTGTTTCTTTTTTTTTTTTTTTTTTTTTTTTTATCCTCACCCGAGGACATTTTTCCATTTTTTGTTCAGGTAGAGTGGGAGGGAGAGAGAGGAACAGAGAGAGAGAGAAACATCGATGTGAAAGGGACACATCGAGTGGCTGCCACCCGCACGACCAACCAGGGCCGGGGACAAACTGCAACCGAGGTACATGCCCTTAGCGGGAACCGAACCCGGGTCTCTCAGGACCGCAGGCCGACGCTCTAACCGCTGAGCCAAACCGGCCAGGGCGTGTTTCTTGTGAATCCAATGTCTGTTTCCCGGATGGACTTTGCGTACGTGGTGGCCCGTGCCGTGGTCCCTGTTTCCTCCACCGATGTCTCCCACGACCGACCTGCACCAGAGGCCTTTCCCCGGACCCCTGCAGGACATCGCCGGGGACCTTGTTGTCTACCTCCCCCTTCCTGGCCTTCAAGTATTTGTATTTCCGGAGAACCCTTCTGCCCTGCACGTGTCCCTGCACCGCACCCCATTTAAACACATGTGTTATAATAGTACAACACACTCGAACCACTGTCAACAATCCGCATCATTTTCCAGTCTTTTTTTTTTTTTTTTGTATTTTTATAGGTCGGGGGTCCAAACACGATTTTTTATAGTGGCCCAGAGAGTAAAGCCTTTAGGCTCTGCTGGTCCTGCCACAGCTAGTCAATGCCGCGGTGCCACATGAAGGCAGCCGTGGACGATGCCCGCGAGCCTCCGCCTGGCCACAGGAGAACAGGCCGCGGGTCGGGTCCGGCTGTCGTCTGCTGACCCTCCATGTGGTTGCAAACGTCTAAAGCCTGTCATAGATGCTCGATGAGTTCAGTGTTGTATTGGGGAAAGTTCCCCTTGCCAATCAAGTTTACACTTATTTTTTTCCATGTTATTCCTTTTTCTGGTTAAACATGTGTTTCTAAATTAGAGGCAAGTCTAGTTTTGACTTTGATGTTAGCGGTTGAATATCCTAGTCCGAACACCTGTCTATTTTGTACCGCTGTGTGATGTCCCTGGTGGTCCCTGAGCCTGCCCACCTACCCCGGACTGTGCTGAGTCGTTACAGGAAGAGAAGACAGGCGTTGCTGACAGCTAGGAATACGAGGTCTCACAGAGTTCTAGCTGGTGGTCTGTAGTCCTTCTGGTCTGTTAGATCGATGGTGTTGGTCACACACCCACTCGTGAACCACGTGCTCTGAGACATGGTTGGGAAGCCAGTCCCTGCAGGATTTCTCACCCCGTCCCCCCATGACGCTGAGTGGCCGCACCACCACGTTCCGAAGGCACCCTGCTCGGGAGGGTCCCATTGCCAAAGTCTCAGCCGCAGGGCCGGGGGTGTGACCGCGTCAGGTCTCCTGGCCCTCACTCTGCCCTTCCGCTTCCCAGCAAACGTTCAGTCACCCCCGGGGACGTGACTTCCTTGCCAAGCAGATCCGATCCCCTTGCCAGGAGGTGTCCCCGAGAAGACATGGCTGCGCCTTCCCCACACCCAGTTCCAGAGCCTTTGCTCCTCTGTGGTCCAGTTTCTTGCCTCATGCGTCCCCAGAGGTTGATCTGAAGACAGGACCGCTCCAAAGTCCCCAGTGCTGATTCCCCACGTGCCCCGTTACCTCTGAATCTAGCCTGGACTCCCGCTCACTCCCCCGCCCCCATTCATTCTTTTCCATCCTTAGGGCCGGGCCTGAAGCAGGCAGCGCACGGCCACTGCAACAGAAAATGTAGCGCGAGTAACGTTCTTTAAAATGGGCCAAGTAGGTTTTGACGGCCTTCCTTGTTTTAAAAATACAAGCGAACAAACAAAACCCCAAAGCAGTGGAATGTTTGCAGTTCCCTCTGCCCCGGAGCATCCCGGATTGCATCCTCCCTGCCACGAAGCACTTGAATGAAAGGCTTTAAACGGTGCCCAGAGGCTGAGCTGGCCCTGGTGCCAGCCGCCGAGCTCCAGGCAGGACCGCAGCGTGCTGTGCCCCGAGCCACGGTCTGACCGAGGAAGTAGACGCGAATGTAACAAATGCGATCTCACAGGTTCTCTGAGTGAGGGGCACCGAGAACAGGGGCTGGCACCACCCAGCGCTCCAGAGAGCTCTCTGCCCACGCCTGCAGCCAAGCCTCCCCTTCCTTTGTGCCCAGGGTGCCCCTGGAAAGGCCCCCTCCGCCCTTTAGGTTGGGCAATTTGCATTTGTCAGACAGTGTCTGAATGTGTCGCTCCAGGTCCTGGACATCACTGGAGGACAATGGTTTTCTCGGGCTCACGACCCTGGGCAGAGGATGGTGGTTACTCTGGCCTCTCCGAACACTGTGGTCAGGGGCTCGCTCCTGTTTGAGACGATCCTTTGATTTATTTTTCTCAGCACTTGTGCCAGAACCAACTGTATTACAGGCTGTCTAATTGAGACTTGGCAGCATACAGCCTAGATCA